TTGAAAACAAAATTCCTTGCTTATTATATTTTAGCATTGAAGAGAACTCGCACAGTTCTCTGCAATGCAAAAGAGAACTTACATAGTTTTTGTGATATCCTTGGATTTTTAGCGATTAGTAAAGACGTAACGAGCGATTTCTTCATCTACATCTCTAGGCATGGCGATTCGTCTTGCGTTAACAATGCGCAAGTTTCCTTTTCGATTAGTTTTCTTCAATAAGCGATGAACGTCTTAAGGTGAGTAGTTCAAGAATTTTTTGATTTTCGTGCGGTTGTGTTGGAAATTATGAAGTTTTATTGAGTTTTCATGACGCCGAATGATTGCTCACGTTAGTTTTACTGACGAAATGCTTCTTGTTCATGACTGAGTGGATTTCAAACGTTATTGTAAATATGTGAACTTGTTTCACTTCATAGCTCATTTGCATCTTTCCAGCTGGTTTCCAGTTTGATTCAATGGATTGGCGTCATTTCTGCCTTCAGGATATGATCAGATGCCTGTTTATCGTCCTATTGCTCCACGCATTTTTCGTAGATCAATCGGCTCTTTAAAACATCGCAAAGGATTGCTTCCAATTTNCCTATTGCTCCACGCATTTTTCGTAGATCAATCGGCTCTTTAAAACATCGCAAAGGATTGCTTCCAATTTTGGTGCTGCTTGCGGCGGTGATATGGTTAGTTGTTGTTTCTAGAATTGTTTCCATCTTCATGTTTCCGATCATAGCTTTCCGGTCATAGTTTGAGAGCTTGACGGATCTGTAAAAGCAACCTTTTATCCAGTGGATGAAGATGTTTATAATGGGTTGAACGAGGTCTTAGGAATGAATGGATTTCTTGGGTTTGGTGTGAGAAAACGTGGGATATTGACGGGAATTCGTCCAGTCAAAACGCAGTTCGTTTCTTGATCGTGGCTGATCCTCAACTGATTGGATATACTCGTGAGCCAACGCCGTTCTCCAGTTTGACAAGATGGGATTCCGATCGGTATAATTTTTCTCATCTGTAATTTTCGGTAGTAAATTCAGTTGCTTACTGACTGCTCCTAATTCTGACAGTTCAGTCTCGTTTAGCTGAGGCAGTTGTCTTCATTTGCTCTCAGTTTACTTCAAATGAATTGAATCAATTCTCCTCACATGCAGTTGTAGTCGATTCTCTTCGAGTATCAGCATGAAGCGGTGTTCTGTTGAAGCTTTTCCGCCGCATATATGTATTTGTCTAAACGAAAGTATTTTCCAGATACTTGCGGATGGGATTCGAACGTGCCTTGACGGCTTGCCACCCGGACTTGATTCTGTTTTTGGGTGATCTGATGGATGAGGGTGTGCATGCTTCCAAGGTTGACTTTGACCGCACGCTGGAAAGATTCAACGCCATATTCCGCACTGACAAGCCTGTTCAGGTAATTTTTTAAGTGAAACTTGAATTCCGTTAACGACTCGAGATCTGAGGTTACTGAATAGGATTTGTTTTGGAAACGTTTTCATCCATGTTCAGCTATGTAATCGTAATAAATTAATTTTGTTTTTTTAAAATTTTGTTTGAAGCGAATCTATGTGCCTGGTGATAACGATATTGGTGGCGAGGAGCAAATGATTATGCCGTATTCGCTGAACAGATTCTCCAATAGTTTTTCGAATTCATTCGAAGCAGAAGCTTTGGGATTGGACGCGATCAGTTTTGTTCAGGTATAATAATAATAATACAGTGTTTATCTTGCCTATATGGAGTGGATTCATCAATTTTTACGAGCTTTTCATAACCATCAATTTACGAGTTTTTTGAGTCGTTCCAAAATTATTTCCAAAGATTTCATTGCGATTGTTCTCTTGATTTGATTCGTTTATTTCCTGATATGATTGAATGAAAATGTTTTATGTATCAATTCTGAAATGATTCTGAACTTCTATAGATTACTTTCTAGATGTAGGATAGATAGCGTATCAAGTTGAGGCTTTCAATTCAGAAATGATTTGAGTGACGAAAGATTATTTTCAAAACCATTCCAGATAAATCCTTTCAATGGTGCCCAGTCAATCCTGTGGGTAGGTTCTAGCGCAATTTGTGTGGTACTGAGTCATGGACCAATCATTCGCTTTCCTGATATTCTTAAGAATGTTAGTTGTTTGAACTTTCCAGGAAATTAATCTCATATTCAATTGTTATCTTTGACGTGATATTTGTCTGTAGTTTTTCTAATTTTTAATACCTTGAGACGGTGTCCATCTTCCCGCATTGAGGTGTCTCATCAATATTTCTGATTTCAGGTTCGGTCCTTGGTCAGTCCCGCATTGATTCTAAGTGCTCACTCTCATACGGTTAGTGATAACTGACGATGCTTGGGATGGTAGTTTCTTAGTTAATGTTCCACAAAATTGTTAGATTGGTTCATGTCAGTTATATTTTACTGAGATATTAAAATTCTTCGAAAATTTCACTCAAGCAAATAGTATTTTCGGTTGCTTTTTTTCCGATTTTATCGTTTCACTTGGATGAATGAGTGCCATCTTTCGAAATATTACGTATGAGTTCGTTGTGGTCAATTTATCGTACAATTGCATTTCGGTTTTTGCCGCATCGTTCCGTTTCAGGCGAGTTATTACGAGGAGGTTTTCAATGGGGCGCAACCATTCAAAAGTATTTCTATGCTCTCGCAGAAAACTTCACACACGGTAGCTATCGATGAACACAATAGTACATTCAAAGAATTTCAAACGGCCACTTGTAACTATCGTATGGGTGTCGATAATATGGCATACGGTGAGCAAATGTTCATTTTAATCGTTCCTGTGTAAAAAGGCATTTTGGCACTTAGAACTCGATTGTTAAATGTAAACTCAGCATTGAATGGTTTCGTTTCATATGCAGTAATTGTTGTTATTTTAGGTTTGAAAATGTATGAGTGGAATTTGAAAAATTATAAGGCGGTGGATGAGAAATTTAATGTAAATTTTCAGGCTGTTTAACATTCACAAGAAATAATGCCACACCACGACCGTCCTTTAATGTACGCTACACGGCTCTGTGGCTTCCGCGACGTTTTCATCAATTGGCAATATATTTCTTCATCGTTGTAGTATTGACCATTTATGGTTTGCGATGGTTATTTTGGTGATAGGATGGAATTGGTTGATACGTCCGTTGGTGAATCTCTTCAGTGAAACTTGCTCTGTATTTTAAAAAGTTGTGCACATCATCTGGTGAGAAGATTTCGTTCGATGGAGGGATAAAAGAAGAGTTTTTGAGATGGTATATCTTTGTAATAAAGTTTGTGTGAATGTAGCCTACGGTTTCGTTTATTTTACATTTTGGTTTGTCATTTTCAATAGATTGTTTTGAGGATGTGTTGATCTCGATGAACGATATCATTTCGGTGTAATAAGCTTCAATTGTACTCAAATGCATAATTAGTTGTTGTACCTCTATTTGTGATTGTTGCCGTGAAAAGTCGATTGTGAAATGTGAACTATTGCAGTTGTACAGTTCCATATTTTGATGACGTGTGCCATATGAAATTCAGAATTTTACGTATTCTTCGTATAATTGAACGTCAATGTTATCGTTATGCTTGAACAAAACATGTTATTGATTCTTATAAAATTGTTTATGAATCTCGCAAGAAGCAATGAATTCAGTGACTTGTTTTGTTTTCAATTTTGAAGTCTTAGAAGTGTTTTGCGTATTCAGGATATTGCATTGTTCTGTGGTGTTTTTGTCATATGCATTTGAATCTTCCAGTTATCTTTTGATTTGGTGATTATGTTCGATTTTGTCTTCCCAGTGGTTCAATCAGCATGTTAGTACTGTTGTCGTAATCCGGAACTTGTGTCGTTTGCTCATTCCTTAACTTGATTACTTCGAAAACGCAGTCATTGTCTTTCATTTAGCGTAATAATGTATTGTGCATAATGGTTACTTGTAATAAGATCAGGAGATGTAGCATTTTGAAGTATTTTGTTGTTCGTTTTTAGCCTGAGAACGATATAAATACATTCTAGTCCATGACAGATTTATAATAAACATTTATTTTGTTCTTTTATTGTGCCATTAATTCGCGTTGGATTGAAGTGATTAAGTTGAGTTATTCCGGGTAAATTGAGCGATAGTGAGTCGCATGAAAGGTGCGTAGGTCGTTGAGGTTAAAGCGTTTGAAGGAAACAGAATGAAGTGGAACCAACGATCAGTTACTGATGAATTATTGGAGAATGCATCATCTGATGAAGGGACTTAGTGGTAAATACTCGATTGTATGCGTAACTGATACAATTGGGTAAGAATACACATTCTGTAAGAGGAACTTTGAGTTTGTGATAACAATGTGCAATTCAAAATACAATTGAAGTTGTCATTCGTAATTGAGAAGCTGGTAGGATCGTGTAACTGATTTACTAGGATATGAATTTCACAAAATAATGTCATGAAATTGGATGATTCTTATCATTCATTCTTGATAGAAAGAATTATTCTTGATTAGCTGCACTCTTCATTTCCCAGACTCTATCGTCAATTTCGCGAAGTTGATCCATCATATCGTTGAAATCGTCCTGAATCTTGCGCAAATACATGAACTGCGGACGATGCCTGAATCGTCCCTTCCACGTTCCTTCTTCAACCAGTGTGACCTGAAGAAACATCTTAAAAGTACCAGAGAATATTCATCGAATGTAATTGCATCTATAAGAATGTTTGAACACAATATCAGTTCTCATCAGTGCAACATAATCATAATATTGTATGTCATCACTACAGGTATCTGCATTCTGACTCATTAAACTGTTTCAGAAGAAAGTAAACGAAAACTGAAACGATCATGAGCACAGAAAGGGATATGAAGTCATAAAGAAACCAAATATAATGAATAGAATGAAGTGGATTAGGTAATGTGATTCATTTCTGCGCAACTTGATGTTCTTCTTGGATTTTACTTCCATTTACCTTCTTCAACTCAATTGTGAAGGACAACACTCTGAGAATATTTCATTTAATTCATGCACTCATGATTTTCACTTTTTCCTACGATATGTAAGCATTTGAATGAATTGTAGATACAGTAATGTATAACAAACGGTATCGCCAGAGTAGAAATCGTTTAGATGACGAACTGCGGCACAAAAGAATAAGCACAGAATCAGAATGACCATTAATGATCCGTAATCCGTGTTCGACGCTTCATTCACTGCCACCTCATGCTAAAACACCCTTAAATGATCCTTCAGAATGCTGTTATTAATTAGATCAACCCGAATGCTTGAAACGATCAGCAATCGCACTTCATAACGTAAGCATGTTGAAATGCTTGGCTTCCAAACAATCACTTAGATCAGTGGTTCTCATAGGGGGTGAAATTACCCGTTTTGGGTAATTTGGAGGTGTCAAGGGGGAACGGAGGGGATTGGGAAATTAGTATTTCGTGCATTTGTTATGTTATGATATAACGCCATTGTGATGGTGTTTTCTTACTCGAACATGTAAATGCGGTCAGTTGATGACAAAACCTTCATTCCATATTCTGCTTAACATTAGATCGTCCGGGTCTCGTAGGATTTTCATTTGTTTTAACAGTGTTCTCATTCTTTTCCGTGCTGTTATAATCGCTCTCATAGCTTTTATCACCAAAATTGTTATCTTCTGCTAATTTCTCATTCATGTCTGTTAAAGTCAAATTCTTATTCTATCAACTACACTCTATATTTAATCATTTGACTGTTGAGCAACGTATAACTTTTATCAGCAAAAGTGTTCTCTTTTGCTAATTTCTCATTCATTTCACTCAACAATTTAAAAATCAAATTTCAAAAGTGTTGTGTTTTGCTAATTTCTCATTCATTTCACTCAACAGTTAAAGTCAAATTCTCATTTACTAATTTCTCATTCATTTCACTTAACAATTAAAGTCAAATTCTCATTCTATCAAATACACTCTTTTATTTATCATTTGACTGTCGAATGTTGCTGAGCAATAATACTCGATTGCTGTACTGTTGATTTCGGTTGTCAACACTCGTCAACGCATCCAATAAAGAGTGTATGCTACAGAATGAGAAGTTGATTTGAACTGTGAAGTGAAATT